GATTTAAGTAAATAATTACTATTTAAACTATCACCTTAAGGCCAGGTGCGCTGGCTCATGCCTGTCATCCCAAAACTTTTGGAGGCTGAGGCGGGAGGATCACTTGAGCTCAGGAGATGGAGACCAGCTTGGGCAACATGGTGAAACTCCATCTCTACTAAAAAAAAATACAAAAATTAGCCAGGCATGGTGGCTCATGACTGTAGTCACTGCTACTCAGGAGGCTGAGGCATGAGAATTGCTTGAACCCAGGAGGCGGAGGTTGCAGCGAGCCGGAATTTTGCCACTGCACTTCCTGGATGATAAAGCCAGATTCTGTCTCAAAACAAACAAACAAACAAAAAAACCCAAGAACAACAAAAAGCACAAAAACTATTGCCTCAAAATCTTTAAATAGAAGGTCACACTGGAAACAGTAAGCAATGTTTTAAGATGGAAATAATTATGTGTTTATGTGTGTATGTTTGCTTTTAAAATTTTACATATTTACTTCTAGACAAATTATTATTTTTTTCTTGTCATAATTTCATTTTGATCATCATTCCTCCAATAGAAATTTTATCATTTCATCAGCATAGTACTTACAAAGAGCATATTCCCTTTTAGACAAATTATTTTAAGCAGCCAAGTTTAGTTTATTTTGGTTTCATGCTATAAATTATGCTAATTTATGAGGATTACTTCTTATTGGATGCTTGTAGTATTCATATAATATTTAAATGCAAAGCCAAATATTAATATAAAGCATTATCAATTAAATTTTATTCCACCTGATAATGCTTTCTGTGATACATCATCATCTTAGCTGTGTAACTGATTTTGCATTACCATTTATGAGTGATACAGTTGTGCTCTTTCAAAAGTGTATATGCAATTAGCAGTGGTTATATTTGTTTCATGAAATCTCTTTGAAGGTCCTTTGTTTTAGGAGTGTAAGTAGTTTTCAATTATAATATATTTATATATTTTAAAATCTCATTTTCATATGAAGATAAAGATGTGGTCATTCTTAGAAAGAAGTAACTCTTCAGAAGGAGACAGTCAAAAGCCAGAAATGTATTTGTTATCCCTTTGTAGTTGTTAGGACAGCAGCACTAATCTGGCCAACTAACCTTTCAAAGAACATGCAAAGTCAAAGATGTCAGGTTGTATCAGTAAATATTCACTGGCAAAGTTTTTATATCAAAGACTGGAACTTTCGAAGATGCTCCTGGGACTTAGTGTACTCTAACATCTATTAATCCCTGATACCTTAGGTGACTTGTCATAGAAGTGCCACATTTACAAGTGGTATGCAAGGAGGCCCACGAGGACAAATACAGTTAAAGGTCAAGGAAGCAATTAATATTCTCTACTTTTCCCTAAAGAACTTCCACAGCAAACGTTGCCCTCCCTCTGCACCCCCAATCTTAGCAAGGCAAGTGCATATAGTGAAATGGAAGTTAAAGTTCAAATGAAACACATTAACAATATTATTTGGTTCTTAGAGCTCTTCCTGAATGTGAATGCATACAGTTGTTTAAGGTGAAGCACAGTGAAAAATATTAGAAGAGATGGCTCTTACTGAAGAATACCAAATTTCTGTTTCTTTGCTTCCCCTGCATCTCTGTAAAGGGTAAATTTTGCCATAGTGGTAGAAGTTGGTGGTAGGCTGGTCCCTTCTTGTGGGGTGTGGTTAAGTTTTAGTTCTTTTGAGGAGTATATGATGCTGTTTTTATTCTAAGCAGGACACACACATACAGACACACACACAAACACGTACATGCACCCCAACCTTCTATTTTCTAGTCCTTCAAATTTTGAAAACTCTTTTGTGTTCACTCAAGTCTTTTCTTCTTTTTGATGAACATGTTGAACTCCCCAAAACTGTCCTTAGAAGGCTGAGTTTCAAGATTTCTCACTTCCCAGTTGCTACAATTTCTCAGTGTCCCTCTAAAGTGGGCCTTCCCTAACTGGATGTCCAAGTATAATCTGACTGGTGTAAAATAAGTCCTCTACCTCCCTGATTTTAGAAATTATATATATATTTATTTATTTTATTGCATTTTATATTTTGGGGTACATGTGAAGAACATGCAAGATTGTTGCATAGGTACACACGTGGCAGTGTGATTTGCTGCCTTCCTCCCCATCACTTATATCTGGCATTTCTCCCCATGCTATCTCTCCCTAACTCCCCACCCCCCACTAACCCTCCCCTATTTTCCCCCAACAGACCCCAGTGTGTAGTGCTCCCCTCCCTGTGTCCATGTGTTCTCATTGTTCAACACCCGCCTATGAGTGAGAACATGCGGTGTTTGATCTTCTGCTCTTGTGTCAGTTTGCATTGGCAACAAAAGCCAAAATAGACAAATGGGGCCTAATCAAACTCCACAGCTTCTGCACAGCAAAAGAAACAGTCATTAGAGTGAATCGGCAACCAACAGAATGGGAAAAAATTTTTGCAGTTTACCCATTTGACAAAGGGCTGATATCCAGAATTTACAAAGAACTAAAACAGATTTACAAGAAAAAAACAAGCCCATTCAAAAGTGGGCAAAGGATATGAACAGATACTTTACAAAAGAAGACATACATGAGACCAAAAAACATATGAAAAAATGCTCATCATCACTGGTCATCAGAGAAATGCAAATCAAAACTACATTGAGATACCATCTCACGCCAGTTAGAATGGCGATCATTAAAAAATCCGGAGACAACAGATGCTGGAGAGGATGTGGAGAAATAGGAACACTTTTACACTGTTGGTGGGAGTGTAAATTGGTTCAACCATTGTGGAAGACAGTGTGGCGATTCCTCAAGGACCTAGAAATAGAAATTCCATTTGACCCAGCAATCCCATTACTGGGTATATATCGAAAGGATTATAAATCATTCTACTATAAGGACACGTGCATACGAATATTCATTGCAGCACTGTTTACAATAGCAAAGACCTGAAACCAACCCAAATGCCCATCGATGATAGACTGGACAGGGAAAATGTGGCACATATACACCATGGAATATTATGCAGCCATCAAAAAGAAATTATATTTTTAATGTGAGCTACTTGCACTGATTTTTTGATGGCCATATTAAACTTTGAGTCATATTGAGCCTGTGGCCAAGTAAATGTATATATCTGTCCCCACCCCTTATACAGTGCTGCTAAACTCAGGCTGAATACCATCTTTAGACTTACTAAATTTCACATTGCTAAGGCCAATCCATTGTTATAACTCAAGATATTCTGCATCACATTTAGTTTTCTATTATACTTGTCCTCATCACGTTTATATATTCTGAAAATTTTATAATTGTAATGTCATCAGTTAGTCAAACCATTGACAAAACTGTTCATCGAGGCAAAGCTGAGAACACACCATTTATGAGAAATGTCTATCCAAGTGGGCACCAATGCCGAGTGCCTTGAGAATACTGGGGAAAAGCACTTTCATCCAATCCAACAATTCTTCACAGGGTTGCCATGAGATACCACATTTGTGTCTGTGTAGTTCTAATTTTTCCAAGGTTAGGGACCACGTCTATTTGGCTAACTACTGTATTCCATCATCCAGCACCATGCCTGGCACACAGAACAATTGCAATTGCACTGTGTCGCCAATATGAAGAGTTGGGTTCTTTTTTTTTCAATATTAATTTTCTTTATTATTATACTTTAAGTTCTGGGGTACACATGCAGAATGTGCAGATTTGTTACATAGGTATACACATGCCATGGTGGTTTGCTGCACTCATCAAATCATCATATACATTAGGTATTTCTCCTAATGCTATCCCTCCCCTAGCCCCCCACCCCACAACAGACCCCAGTGTGTGATATTCCCCTCCCTATGACCATGTGTTCTTGTTCTCATTGTTTAACACCCACTTATGAGTGAGAACATGTGGTGTTTGGTTTTCTGTTCTTGTGTTAGTTTGCTGAGAATGATGGTTTCCAGCTTCATCCATGTCTCTGCAAAGGACATGAACTCATCCTTTTTTACGGCTGCATAATATTCCATGGTATGTATGGGCCACATTTTCTTTATCCAGTCTATCATTGATGGGCATTTGGGTTGGTTCCAAGTCTTTGTGATTGTGAATAGTGCTACAATAAACATATGTGTGCATGTGTCTTTATAGCAGAATGATTTATAATCCTTTGAGTATATACCCAATAATGGGATTGGTGGGTCAAATAGTATTTCTGGTTTTAGATCCTTGAGGAATTGCCACACTCACTGTCTTCCACAATGGTTGGACTAATTTACACTCCCACCAACAGTATAAAAGCATTCCTGTTTCTCTACATCCTCTCTAGCATCTGTTGCTTCCTGACTTTTTAATGATTGCCATTCTAACTGGCATGAGATGGTATCTCATTGTGATTTTGATTTGCATTTCTCTAATGACCAGTGATGATGAGCTTTTTTCCCCCGCCATATGTTAGTTGGCTGCCTAAATGTCTTCTTTTGAGAAGTGTCTGTTCATATACTTCTCCCACTTTTTGAAGGGGTTGTTGTTTTTTTTCTTGTAGCTTTAAGTTCTTTGTAGATTCTGGATATTTGCCCTTTGTCAGATGGAGAGATTGCAAAAACGTTCTCACATTCTGTAGGTTGCCTTTTCACTCTGATGATAGTTTCTTTTGCTGTGCAAAAGCTCTTTAGTTCTTATATTCCATCACCAATCTTTTTCTTATTCTAGACAAACTGATTGGTGGCTCTTAAAATATATTGCTTTAAAAAAATATATCAGTTATTTTTGTTGCATGTAGCACTACAGAAGTAGATAGTTGTGACTTCAACTTCCATAAAAATAAGAAAGATATTGCCACCCTGATAAATGGAAATATTAACTTACATTGTGAGTCATTTTCAAACAGTTTACCTTATGAATTTTCTCCTAAAGTCAATTTCTGCTTAGACTAAGCAGAAATGCTGTATTTCCATCAGGTTCTTTTCTCTTTTCACGGATTTATTAATACAATCTTTACCTTTTTCTTTTCCTTTCAGAGACCAGAGAAGACTATGATGACAAGCAGGTGGTCACAGAGATCATGGCAAGATGTTTTATTCCGACTGTGATAACAAATATTTCCTGGGAAATCTTTCATTTTATTGGTCATGAGATTCGAATTACTGAGGCCATGGATTGTTATGGTGCTGTTGTTTGGCCATCGGTATAATTTCATACAGAATTTGTTACATTCTAATTATTTTTCCAGCCAGTTTTGTTAATTATTATGGTTTATTTGGAAGAAGAAAACAGGTTCCATACCTCTTCTTTGTGACCTCAAATGATGCTACACTTTAGAAATCATATGATTGGGAAATTACTTCTCCCAATTAATTCTATAATTAATTCTATTTTTTTTTTTGAGATGGAGTATTGCTCTGTAGCCCAGGATGGAGTGCAGTAGTGTGATCTCAGCTCACTGCAACCTCCGCCTCCTAGGTTCAAAAGATTCTCCTGCCTCAGTATCCCGAGTAGCTGGGACTACAGGTGTGCACCACCACACCCAGCCGTTTTTTGTAATTTTAGTAGGAATGAGTTTCACCATGTTGGCCATACTGATTTCAAACTCCTTGCCTCAAGTAATCCATCCATCTCCATCTCCCAAGGTGCTGGGATTATAGGCGCGAGCCACCACATTGGGCCACAATTAATTCCATTACAACTTTATCAAAATTTGTAGGATTAGCAAAGGATGTTGTTTACTTCTTCAGTTTTAAAAATAAGAGTTTAGAGTAGTAAACATTTTTATTTCCCCTTTTATTAGCTCCATTTGAGTTCAACAATTACAATGAAGTCTTTATGAGTCTCACATGTATGATGTCCTCAAAGACCCCCTCTCCTTTACCAACTGTCCCATGAAGAGTAGTGGACTCACCACCCCACCTGCCCCAATTCCACACACTACTTGGAAATGACTAGTATTATCAGAAGTTGCTTCCTTTCAAAATGATCCAACCTAAGCAACTGAATTCCATATTTTTAGTTATCTCTTTTTTTCCTCCCAATAATCTCCAAAGAGTTTTTCTAGCAGAAATGTTGACTCTCTCAGAGGATGTAGTTTTGTTGACATTTTCTGGAGTGATGTACAGGTACACACATGAATACACTCACCTACTCACATGTGCGTGCAGACATACCATAACATTAGCGGCATATTTATCCAATACAGTTTAATTTACTTTCTGTTATTATTTGCCAGGCACCCATTTTTTCTTTTTTCAAACTTTCATAGGCCCTTGTTCTATGCTATTTCCTGGAAACAAATGCAAAGCAGTATAATATGGTTGACAAAAACGTGATTGAAATTGGAGCTGGAACAGGGCTAGTCTCCATTGTGGCAAGTTTACTTGGTAAGTGAATATTTTTGATTGGGTAGGGGGAATGCCAGATAATTTAATGACAGATAACATTAGTTGTTTTACTATCCAGTGTACTATGACCTGCGCCTATCTGTGACTCCTTAACTGTTTGAATGGGCTTCATCCAGAAACTACAGATGTTAAAGTCTCCTTACTTGTTTCTTTCATAGTTTTCTGTGTTAAGTTGTGTTAATTCTTCTTGGGGAATACTGTCACAAGCCTTAGATGGAGTGTTCTAAATAGGAGGTGCATGGAAGCATTCTGGTTGCAAGGGGAGAAATGTGAAACAGGCAGAGACAGATTCTATTGCTGCTGATTCAGATGTGCTTTAGATTTTAGTGCCATTTCAGTGTCACCATGTAGCTGTAGATTCCTTTTGAGTTTTGAAGCACTATGCTTTTATGAAAAAGCACCTGTTAGAATAGGGACAGAGTATTAGGAATCACATAAAAATCACACATCTGCTTTTATTTTTAGGTGTTTGTGTTTGAATTTGCTTTCTTAGTTCACAGTTCATCTCCATTCCTTTTTTTTTTTTTTTTTTTTTTNTTTTTTTTTTTTTTTTTTGAGATGGAATTTTGCTCTGTTGCCCAAACTAGAGTTCAGTGGCATGATGTTGGCTCACTGTAATCTCCGCCTCTTGGGTTCAAGGGATTCTCCTGCCTCAGCCTCCATGAGTAGCTGGGACTGTAGGCACGCACCACCACGACCAGCTAATTTTTTGTATTTTTAGTAGAGATGGGATTTCACCATGTTGGCCAGGATGGTTTCGAACTCCTGACCTCATGTGATCCACCTGCCTCAGCCTCCCAAAGTGCTGGGATTACAGGTGTGAGCCACCACACCCTGCTTATCCTCATTTTTTTTTTTTTTTTGTGATCCTGAGTTCTCTCACCAGCATCTTTTCTAACTAAGCATGTGATAGTTTTTAGTGTATGCCTGAGCCCGTTTCAGTTGTCTTTTTGTTATTGTTGTTATCTATCTCATTGTCTTAGTTTAACTCCTTCTCTGATGCCCACTACCCAGATCCATCCTGATTTCCTTGATCTTCAGATGTGCACACATGTCACTCTAAAATCTTGAGAGGAATTTAACATTTAGCAATTTACAACTTTCAAATACTAGATATTTGTAAGACCTTTGAAATCTTCTCCGATAGATATATTTTTAAAGTTGCTTTGTCCTAATATTGTTTTCCAAAGTCACTATTCCATTTAGTAAGGATAGGTCAGAGTCACTATTCGATTTATACCTGAAAGCCTGGCTTAGGAGCAGAATTTTTGCTTTGGGGAGTGGGTCCCTTGAGTTCACTTGTCTAACTTGAACAAATATTAAAAGATAGAAACTTTGTTTAGTCAGTATTCTGAAAGTTGTAGTGTTTATCTCTCTAGACATAAAGATATTAAGTATAAGAGAGAGTTTACATTCAATATGGGCAACGGTGTGTTCCTGACCCTGAGATTCAAAAAAGATTTGTTGAAAATGATAGACCCACCCATCGTAGAATGTAAAAGCTTCTATGTCTGTATGATAGGCATATTCCCCTCCCATTTTAATATTTTCACAAAATACAATTGATGCCAAGAGATTCGTGGTATTGGCGCTGAGGAGTATCTTCTGATTTGGTCTGAGCTGAACTAAAGTTCTCTTTCATTTCTGCTTTCCCATTCTTTATCTGGTCTGCTTTTCTGATGCTGCAGAATTGGCCAATCCTAGATTTATTTGCAGATTATTTTCAGGCTTTGCTACTGCTCAAAATTAACTTTAGTGACCAAATTTCTACATATTTACTTCTGCCATATTTCTTCCTGAAAAAGCCACTATTTAGTTTTATCTTGGAAATTGTTTACATCTTCATCTATCACCAGTAGCTTTATGAACCCTATAGATGTTGTGACTAGGTTTTAAGCATCTTTTGGTGGGAAGATTTACGCTTGTGCTGGGTCAAGTTGAAAACCTGAGCGCCAGCACGGACGTCAAGATACTTTCCACAAATGCCATTGAAAAGTCTTCTTTCCTCCCCCTGCTTCTCACATGAACACTTCCTGTTCAACTATGGGATGTCCGATGTTACCTACACTCATTTGGTCTCACATGACTGAGGCTCAGAATTCTTTTAGGGAGGTACCTATTCTTTCATCATTCCAATGAGGGTGCCAAATATTTTGACTTTCCCTTTCTCTCCTGGTATGTAGTAGGTAAATAGGAAAACAGCAACAACAGTAACAGCAAAACATACCAGAACAAAAGAGCAGGAGAACATAAAAAATGCAGTGGTACGCAAAAGTATCATGGGTCTCTCTCTCTCTCTCTCTCTTCTTTTTTTATTTAAGCAGAGGCACATAGCTGCCTTAGCTCCATTTGAAAGGGATTCCCTTTCTGTGTATAGTTACTAACCAGTCTTTTTGGAGGTACTAACAGTTGTGCAGCATTGCAAAGTGCATGTTGGCTTGAAGCTTTTGACTGTTCTACCTTATCCCACGAGGGTTACTTTCTCTGCTGTCCTTTGTTTCACAGGTGCTCATGTGACAGCCACAGATTTACCCGAATTACTTGGAAACCTGCAATATAATATTTCCCGAAACACAAAAATGAAAAGCAAGCATTTGCCGCAGGTTAAAGAACTCTCCTGGGGTGTAGCGTTAGATACAAGCTTCCCCAGATCTTCTAATAATTTTGACTATGTTTTGGCAGCAGACGTGGTCTACGCTCATCCGTTCTTGGAAGAGCTCCTCATTACCTTTGACCATCTGTGCAAAGAAACCACCATCATCCTCTGGGCCATGAAATTCAGGCTGGAGAAGGAAAATAAATTTGTAGATAGATTTAAGGAGTTGTTTGACCTGGAGGAAATTTCCAGTTTCCCCAGCCTGAATATTAAGTTGTATAAAGCTGTGAAGAAAAGCCAGAGGAGGATATGACATCCTCGATGAGGACATGGAAATGCTAAGGCAATTTTTAGCAGATAATCACTTTAAAGAAAACCCTGCATAATCTCCTGTGCCACTGAGATTCCCAAGGGGAAATACACAGACACACATGCACACACATACCCCACTATGAGAATAGAAGATAGTTTCACAAATTTGCCTCACCTTGGGCAGTAATTTTTCCATATACTGCACGTGAGTCTGTAGGACTAGTTTGTCCCTCTCAGCACCCAGGCCGTGAGCCTGCCTTCCACTCATGTAGTAATAGGGGCTCTTGACCAAGTCACACTGTGTCGTCATTGCCTGCTCTCATTCCTTACATCACAATTTATTATTTTAATCAATGGTGCAATTATTATTTTTAATGTATAATCACAAAATGATAGTTTTTAATGATATCTCTTCAGTGAACATTGTTATTAATTCTTTTAAATATAAGCTTATGTGATTCTTTCTTTAGAAATGAGGAAATTGACTACAGTGGTATCTGCAAATAAATCTGAACAGGCAGATACATAATATAATGGTAAATCTCAGACTTTTGTGGTTTTTGTGAGTGCCAGCTTATAGGTGGCCTATCATCTCTGCCTGGCAGAGTAGGCTCCTAATCTAACCTCTGAAATCAGTCAAGCTTGTGGATTTGAGGTCATGGACGTTTTATTCTACCAAATGAGAAATGAATGAATGCAAACAAATATTGTTGAGATTTTGGAGAAGTTATTGTTTTGTTTTAAGCCAACTACCATTATTTTGTATCACAGAAACAGACATAAGTATAAACACTTTGAGTTAAAATACACGTGAAAAGATTTAGGTCTCTGATCTCAGATAATTAGACATATACAGTAGTTGGTTTTAAAGTTTAAAGCTCTTTTGATGAACATATATACATCTAGATATTTGAAATACTATGTGATTTTTTTTTCACATAGGCTTTCCTTAGAGACTGGAATAAAGTCTGTAGTAATTGAAGTCAGTGCAAAAAGAGCAAAGAATTAGGATTCTGTACTATGTAACCACCCAGAGGACACTGGTTGGCAATTACTCTGCCGTGTCTGCAGCAACATTTTTTAGGCTGTTACTGGGCCCTCGGGGTGATACTTTCCTTTCTAGAATTAGTCCTTTCTGCTTTGCTGAAAGTTTTCTGTCCACTCCAGGCTGAGTATAGTTGAAAAGAATATTTTCTAGGACTCTGATCAGTAAGTCAGGATATAAATATACTCCAGTGTATTTTTTATTTTTAGTACTTGTAGTTCATAGGACCAATATTTACATGGTTCTTTGCCATTTTCACAGTCTGTTACTTACATAAAGTCATTTAATCCTCAATCATTCTAAGAGGTAGAAGCTATGTTATCCGTACTTCACAGATGAAGAAACTAAGGCTGAGATGACCTCAGGCTACACATCTGCAGAGTGGCAGTGCTAGGACATTCAAGCCCAGGTCTGTTTAAGCCCAAAGCCTGTATTAACCACTGCACTGTCTTTATATATGTAAAACAAGAATTTTCAAACTTTTAAAAACAAGTGAAGTCATTTCTTCAAAATGAAATAAATATCCAGAAAGATAAGCAAATACATTAGAAAAAAATGAGACCTGTTCCATTTTAAAACTTTTATTTCCTATGTGAGGAGGTCAGGGAAGGCTTGTTTCAAAGGCAATATTTGGGTGAAGCTGACAGGAGGTCGCAGTGCAGATGTCTGAAGAAAGGTGTTACAGGCAGAAGGAACAAGACACAGGGATCCCGAGGCAGGGGCCAGCCAATCCTCTGGAAATATCAAAGGCCAGATTGCTTGGTGCAGAGTGAGCAGGAATTCAGAAAGGCTACAGGGAGCTAGGTCGCGTAGGACTGTGTTGCAGGCTTGGTTCTCCAGAAACAGACTCTGAGAGGGAATTGGGTGAGCAGGTCATGTTTTAGGGAGTGCTGTTGAAATGAAGACAAATGGAAAGGAGTGGGAGGAAGTAGGATAGAAACAGGTCGAGCTGCAGTGCAGACCCAGTAACTGTCTGAGGTGACCCCCACATGGAGCACTGGCCTGAGAGTGGCCTCTGGAGTTGTCCTGATTAGGGTGATGTATCTGGGCCGCGATGACCCCGTGTGGCCCAGTCATTGGATATGGGCTGCCCTGGGAAGACTCTGTGACCTTGGGTGAGGTGACATCAGCTGATACAGTCCTGAAGACGTTGACAGCTGGGGAATGCCTGCCACCAGCTCCAGCAGCAGGGGATTAGGTCACCCTGAAGAGGAGCTGGGCGACTCATCACAGGGTCCAGCACGACCTTCGGGCCTCAGAAGGAGCTCTGACTTTTCTTCCGGTGGAATGGAGAATCTTTGGATGGTTTTGTGAGTGAGGAGTGAAGTAACCGTTTTGCATGTAAAGACCACTCTGGCTGGCATTTTGAGACTAGAATGGGGAGAGATGAGACCAGGGAGAGGCTGTGGCAATCTGATGAGGCAGCCTGCGTTGGGGTGGCAAGAAATGGCCAGTTCTACATGTATTTGGCTGCCAGAGCCAACAGATCTTCCCACTATATAGGGTGTAGAGTGTGTGGGAGAGAGAGTCAGGGCTGAGTCACTGTGCATAAATTTGGAGTCAGCAGCTTAGAGATGGCTTGTGAAGCTCCTTCAGGGGACAAAAAGACTAGACAGAGTAAAACAAGGACTAGGCCCGAGTCATTAAGAGATCACATATGGGTGTGTATATGGAGATAATTTTGAAGATTCTACACACTCCCCCCTACTCCAGTTACATGAGTATCTGTTGACTCTAAAAAACATGAATTTAACACCACAGTGGTTTTTGAACTTGATAATAGAGTTCTAAAGTTCCCAAAAGCTTCCTCGAGAGGCCTCTAGCATCCTGAGAGTTGTAAATGCAGCAGGAACCTTCAGGTAACAAATGAAAAATGATTCTTCTGCTTAGAAAATATTTGAATATCATCACTAAATTATTTTTAGGTAGAATAGATAAAGTGTCTTTTCAAATTTAGCATTAGGACTAAACCAACCATATAGTTCTGAAAAGTTCCTCTTTCTCTCTGTGCCAATCTGTCAAACACAGCGTTCCAGACTCATTGTTTTATTCTGTTTTTAGCATTCACTCCCAAAGTGTAACCCCCACCCCCACACACCAGGTCCCTCTTTTTCCACTTCATTCTACTATTCGCTTCATTCTTTAATTCTTTTGTCTTTTTGCTGCAGTTTCGCCATACTTTTTTAGATCCAATTTTATAATAATTTAATTTCAAAAGATGTAATTGGAATTGGAATAGGCCTTTTGTGCCTTACCTTTCTTTTGTTTTTTAATGACTGGGAATCGATTTGTTAACTTAATCCAAGGGAGTTATACTGTGAAGTTTTGCACTTTTTTATCTGGCTTTTTGACAAGTTAGACCATATTATTAAAAACCTCGGTCCAATTCTTTCAGTAACTTTCTGGATTTTTCAATAGAATGAACTTACTGATTGTCAAGGTTTTAATCTAGGTTATTACAGAAGAGCTATCACTCCACAGAAGACACCCCAACTGGCAGGGCATTCTCTGCAGCTTAAAATTACGCACAGGTAACCATGCGAGTTCTGTTCTCTAGACCCTGTCGACGGTCTTTTGGAAACTAAGTACTGCACTAAAACCTTCTATCTTGGAATGTAATGACATATCCTCTTTTATTTGTACCCATTTTTGCCTACCAGAATTTATAAAAAAAAGTTTTTTTTCATTCTATATTCATACTCCATTCCCTTTCTTTTGGATAAAGAATTGGTGACATTGGGTAACTTCCTATCATATCTGCAGCCAAATAGAATATTGAATATTGTGGAAGAAAAAAGATGAGGAAACATAACAGAAGAGGCTGTTCCCTTTTTTCATTAAGGCCTCAGAGTCTAGGAGCTTGGCGTTCTCGGTGAATGCTTGGTCTTTATACACAGAGACCATGCCTCATTTGTTTAGGTAGCACTATTTGCACATGAGCAGACAAATAATTTCTAAATGACATTTGGAAGTGAAACACATCCGCTGAGTAGAATTTGATTCAAGAAGACATTTGTAGGTATTAACTTTGAAAACAAACTGGGAACTTTGGATTGTAGATAGTAGTTATAAAAGAATTAAACTCAACTGTAAGTAAATCAGACAAGTAAGCTAATTGATAAGACTAAAATAGATTTAATATTCTGTGCTTCTTTCTACTGCATTTTAATTTAGTTTTCATGGAAATCTGTAGGTGAAGGAAATAAAAATGGTCAAAAATATGTATTTTTAAGACATATAAATTATAAGGCAGTAATAGGAAACAGTATTGGGAATGGCGCGAGTGAATAATTCGTAAAAGTGTTAGTGGGAATACAGACACAGCAAAATTTAAAAATTATAGGCGTTTGTGTTAGTGTGTAAGTGTGTGGACCTAGTTCCTTCTGTCTTCTTTATGAAAGTGGTTTGCGAAGGAGTTCCACACCCAGGTATTGCCATGTTTAAGTTTGTGATATGAAGTTAAGTGTAGGATATTACCTGCAAGTCCAGTGTCAATGTTTGCTCTCCTTCAAAGTTCTACACAAAATCAAAGACAGCGTTCTGTATAACTATACCATAGTGTTAATGGGATAGTTGTGTCTTAGGTGCCTTGGTTAGCATCAATTAGTTCTGAGGTCATATTAACTCCTTTTTGAAGAATTCCTGAGCTGGACATTTGTGTTTACTCACATCTCATATAGCTGAGTAGTATTTAGATTGCTGGGCATTCACTATTGACTGCTTATTCTATTGAACCAACCTTTGGTCTCTATCACGAGCAGTGCTTTCATTGGGTAAGCTGAAAGGCAGGACCTTTTTCCTCTCAATTTTCTCAGTTTCTTTGTTTCTAAGGCAGTTGTCTTTTCCTGAAATCCAATCAAGTTTTAGAATTGGCGCTTACCATCAAGGAATTTCAAGGGATCACTAAAAATGATAACAGATGTCCAGGTCAGTTTTGTGATAAACAGTACTAATGAAAAAAAACATAGAAAAATATTGAATATCTGCTGCCAACCACGAATACGTTACCAGACCAAAACACATTGCTTGGTTTTCCAAACAAAAGCACAAACAGAATAAGATTAAGACATGCCATTAAAAATATTTTAAGAGCTGGGCATTATTTCATGATGTCACAAATGTAAGTCTAAAAATTTTAAAGTGGCTTACTTGGCAAATACTAGATTTTGTAGTTTAGGTTTTTAAAATTTCTATATTTCCATTCTCCATAGTCTGTAATGCCTATATCTCTGTTTTAATTTTAAAATACCTTAACTGAATTAAAAAAAATTGTTTTAGTGTCATGATTTAATTTGGGTTTTCTTATCTAGTGCCATGATTTAATTTGGGTTTCTTATCTACTTCTATGTTTTCTTTGTTAGTAGAGTATAAATCATAATGACAAAGGTTGTCTCTTTGTCACAAACCATCATAAATAAGCCCAAAGGACAGGCCATAAAAATGTAAGAAATTCTTAGATTAAAAAGCATGAGTAATGCTTCTACCTACATGGCAGGCACAGGTAAAAGTACACTTGGCAACTGGTAAATTATTAACACTTTTCTACCAAGGATTTCCTCCTTCCTTAGTATCTCTGTGATTAATAGATAGTGAATTTAAGAATTAGAAGATGTAAAACATAATAAGTTTTTTTGTGATCATGTATTGGGAAGAAATTAAGGAAACATTTTGCGTAACATTCAAGGGGTCAGGGGAGCAAAGTGCTAGAACTTTTGGGAACAGATTTCATATTTTCTTTGAAGAAATAATTCAAGGAGGCTTAAAGGGAATAAGAATGCAACAATTAATACATAATAAATAGTTGAATAAAGAATAATGAATGCAACTACCTTTTACTTTCCTTGAATTTTAGTTTTTCTTCTTTTGGAAGCCTCTAATGGTTGTCATTCATTCATTTATTCGGCATTTACTGAAAACCCAAAATATGCCAAGTAGGGGCTACAGACACAATAGTGAACAGGCAGACAGGGCCAGTCCTTACGGAGATCATGAGCTCGGCACAGATGGGCAGAGGCAGAGCTGGGGATGGCCTGGTAGGGGAAATACATGAAAACCAATCAGTGCTAGGTGTCCTGGCAGTGGGAGCCTAACCCATAACCAGGGAATAGTTAGGGCTTCCAGGAGAAGGTGTAGCTGTGTGAAGGAGATGGAGGTGAGGGCAGAGAGGAGAGACGGGACATGTCCTAGGCAGAAGGAAGGGTGTGCGCTAAGCTTTGGAGGGAAATAGGAGTGACCTGTTCTGATGACTCGCTAGAAAGATTGGAGCTTCTATGAACATTTGATGAGGTAATAACCATTATCAGTGGAATACTCACTGCTTTCAGGTCTGTTTTAGAGATTTCCAATATAGCATCTCACTGAATTACCCTGAAAACCCAAGTGGTATTAGCCCAATTTATGTATGAAGATATTGAAACTCAGCAGAAATAAGCCTCCTCCCAGGTTACACATGGGTGACAGTTGCTGGGCTGGGAACCTCTGTCCCTATGACACCAAAGCTTGTGCTTTTTACAGAGTATGACCTTGTGTAAGTTTTCCACTCTGAGCCCTGCAAGGAAATTCCAAATTTTAATTTTATTCTAGCTAATTAGGAGCTATCCAGTTTTGTGAACCTTGTCTTCGTTTGCCACCTGAGCGCAAATTAGCTTAAGTGGGCTACTCTTGAGATGGACCCGCAGAGATGTACTCCTGTTCATAATATGTCTCCAAGAGTAGAATTGTATGAATCCACGTATATACCCATCAAAGACTTCACTACGTTTTTCTTTGCAAGGAATATTGAGCACATATTAGAGCAATTAATATAAAAGTGTATGTTGATCTTACAACAACCAATGTGGGGAGCGAAAAAGACCCTATGACATAAAGGAGGTGCTGCAGTGGAAGCAAATGCTGTTCTTTTTCTTCGGCAACGGCTCAGGAAGAACAAAATGAATGAAGTACGGGCTGCCCTCGGTGACTTTTTGGCAGAGATGGCCAAGGGGGTGGGACTGAACTTTAAAACATCTGATCTGTTTGTGGCTGTGTTCTGTGAACGGTGCTGATGTTTATAGGTCTGTTACTAGGCGATAACTCTCCCTGCCTCAGCAGGGTTAAGCCCTGGGGTGATGTGAGAACACCAGTTCTTGGAAACCACCTTTCACAATCTTTCAACGAGAGGGCACGCATTGACCAGTCAGCACAGCCTTCCAATGCCAAAGAGACCTGGTGAGAGCCTGGAAGGACACCAGCACCTTCGGCAGCAAAAGGCTTGTCTAAGTGGAAATGGCCTTTGGCGCCCGTTAGCTTGAGGTTGACCAGGCATCTCTGTCCCTGGAGGGTGATATCGCAGAGTAAGCCATAAACCTTGGCTGGAGCCCTCCAGCAGGTGGCGGGACGTAAGCAGATGCAGGAGCGGGGCGGTAGGCGGGTGGTGGTGGTGGGGGTGTTGGCTTGGCGAGCTGCCATGATGTCAGAGGCTGTCCTGCTGTCCTGCGAGCACGATGTGCACAGGACAGTGCTGACTGCCAGAGGAGAGCAGAGGCAAGGCAGCTACTGAATGTTCCAGAATGGAGAGGAGGGAAAACGTATTTAAAACGTCTTGTGGGAAATAGCTACCTGGCGCAGGCACAACTTCAAAAGCGGGATGGTAAAAATGGAAACCTGAGGGAGTAACCCCAAGGTTATTGAGGAAAGGAGTCACAGGAAAGAGAAACAGGATGTTTCTCTCTGATAGTCTCTTTATTTTCCTTCTTTCTGGTTGATTTTTGAGCTGACCGGCAGAGCCTGAAGGCTGCTGATTGTCATCTCTACGAAGCAGGTGACTGAATATGGAGTTTGATAAATGCAAGAAGTCAAAGCCAACATCTGAGGAAATTTCAGCTGGGATGCTGATGCAATCTCTCTTAGATAAAATACTTGCTTTGGTTCTATTTCATGCTCCTACCAAGTAGGTGAAATTCTAAGGATTTAGACACCATTACCCCAGAGCTCCCAGAATAAAATTCCAGTCTGAAATTACAGTTGATTGCCACTGGGAGGCCCTGGTGATCTGCAAAATGAAATTTCCTTCTGAATAAATAAGTGCAAATAAAAGAAATTGTTTAAGCAAGTCTATTGAATTATAAAAGATGATATGCAAATGCGTCAAAAGCGGCAAGGGGTAAAAACACAACAGTGTAATGTGATAAATGCGTGGCGTTGTCTTCTTTAATTAGGTATTGTTGAAATTCCACTCCTTGCCTGCACACTGTGCACACATTACGAAGTACGTTCTCCAAGAAAAGGAGAAATAGAGGCTGGTTTGTAGTTCTTTGAACACTGTACAGGTGTTCGTTGGTGTGTGGTGAGGTGGAAGGGCTGACGAGGGAGGAGACGGAAGAGGAGGTGAGTGGAAGGGAATGAAGACAGGGAGCAAGCAGAGAGGACACTGGAGTGGGAAGAGAGGTTTTGGTTCTTATAACCTGAGAAGAAATGTCTGATCAGACTTGTCAGATTTCCATTTTCTGTAATCGAGTGGTTCTCAAACCTGAGGCTGTATCAGAATCACCTGGAGGTTTTGTCAAAACACAGGTTGCTGAACTCCAACCCCAGAGTTTCTGATTCAGTGATGTGGAATGGGGCCGGAAGATTTGTGTTTCTAAGTTCCTGGTGATGCTGATGCTCCTGGTCTGGGAACCAGACTTTGAGACCCACTGTGTGGTTGTACACGACGTCTCCATCTTCTGATGTCAACATTTGAGATTGGGGCATGTTGTTATGGAAGGGATATGCTTCCACCTACCTGCTCCAGTGTTTTCACCAGTCATTTCATCTGCTGTGTCTGATGATTCGCATCTCTAAAATGCACCTCTTTCTGGAAGGAGCACCTCCTCATGAGGCCTTCTATGAGGCCTTCTATGAACTACCTGGGTAGATCCCTCTAGGCTCCATCCTTCCCAGGTTCTTGCAAGACTGCATGACACAGGCTAACATTTTTTCATGGAGTTAATATTCTTTTATGTTTATGTGCCACGTATGCCCACTTGAGTCTAACACTTTAAGCATAGTTATAAATAGTCTATGAAGTGAAGAGGAAGTGAGAAAAATTGTGCAGAGATTATTTGGCAGTCAGAGACTAAGGGGATATTTCTTGAAATTCTAGTTCGGGGACTCTGAATATGAGATATATGTAAGCTATTAAAGAACAGACAGTGACAGTGTTTAATTTTATTGCTGCAGTGTGTAATAGCTCCAAATTCAGACAGGCTCTTAATTAAAAAAGTGCTCCTAGTACCAGAGATTGGATTTGCAACCTTTCTATGGTCTTCAGAGGTATGATTCTGATATATATGCACAGTGACAATGTTGAGCATGGGATCTGTGGGGTACAGAGGAGTTTGCAAGGGATGGGGGGTAGGGTGGGGGAAGCTCAGTCAAAGAGGTCTGGATTTCATCATTGGAGGGGGTGTACCTGGGCATGCACCTTGTTTTCACCCACCTTCACCACTTGCTGGATAAGCTAGAAGGCAGTTGGCATTGGTGAGATTTTTGTTTTTGTTTTGTTTTGTTTTGTTTGAGATGGGGTCTCGCTCCTACAGCCTTGACCTCCCAGGCCCAAGTGATCCTTCCACCTCAGCATCCTGAGTAGCTGGGACTACAGGTGCATGCCACTACACCTGTATAATTTTTTGTATTTTTTTGTATAGATGGAGTTTCACCATGTTGCCCAGGATGGTCTCGAATTCCTGGGTTCAAGCAATCCATCCACCTTGGCCTCCCAAAGTGCTGGGATTACAGACTTGGTCCACTGTGACCAGCCCTGCTTGGTGAGTTTTTATTTTTTATTTTTGTCACAAGTGAAATATTCTGGCAGCAGTGGAGTATAGTATTTTTTTCTCTTCAAATTTGTGATGAATTCAGCGCCTATTCTTCCATGAAACTAGTATCATAATACCTTCAACTAGATAATCTTCATTAAGTAATTTGAAAACCTGAAATTTATGATTATCATTGTAAAAAATAATTTTAAAATAAAAGGAATTTAAGAATGTTGACAGTGGAGGTGAAGGGAGGTGTTCATTTTCTCTTTCCTACTCTGAAGGCACAGTCATCACAGTGAAACATACCGGTCCAAAGCAGTCCTCAACCTTGGCTCCCGAGTGGAATCTTGTGGGAAGCTTTACGGAAATTCTGTTTCTCTGGTCCTGCCTTAATCCGTTGAATTTAGGACCATCAGGAGTGGGGATGGGTATATTTTTGGTGCAGAAATCTGTGTTTTTAAAATGTTCTCCACAAGATTTTGTTGGCCATTTTCTGGGACATATTGGTGAGGTGAATTTGGCTAAATGCCCAGACTTTCTCTTTTTGGCTCTTCCTGCATTCTTCATGGCTTATGATTTACTGAACCACTTATGAATTCAAGTTTTCTCATTGCATGTAATTGCTAAGTAGAGAATTTTCCACATGAAAGACTCCAACTGTATTGAAACCAACCTCAGCTATATCCTAGGAAACATTTCCCCTAGAGCTCAGTCAATACAGAGTAATTTTTTTTGGAGGAAAGAAAACATACTACCTCACCTCAGCGCCAGAATATTAATTGATCTAATCAATAGAAATTGGAATATTCCAATGTTAAACACAAACTGCATCCTTTGCCCAGTGAGCCACAACACCACCATTTTCCAAGCACCCGAGCAGTTCAGCCTCACAGAAAAGGGTTCTCCTTTTCGCCAAGCAGTGGTCAGGGCTTCTCGAGAAAGGAAGACTCAGCAGGGAGTGACAGTGTCACAAGCTAAAGTGAAAAGCTGAGAGTGACTGCACAGATCTCCGGGGAGAATACTCCCAGGTTCTCAGTGCTTTCACGGCCGCGTCCTCTCAGCAACATTTATTATTTCCACTCTTTGTCTGCATCAGTAAATTGGATGAAGGACAGAAAACTAACAGCAAAGCCTATCAACATAGGAAAATAGCTAGATGACATAAAAAGGTATGTGTAAAGAGCACATGTGCCTCTCTGTATTATTTCTTGTAACAGCACGTGAATCTATGACTATATCAAAATAAAACATTTAAAAAAAAGAGTTGTGTGTTCAGACATATTTACTTATGGATTATGCATAAAAAACTTTTGTGTCCCTCCCCTTCCCCATTCATCCTCCTCTATGTGTATATGTCTAGTATGTCTTGGGGCATGATTCAAACAGTGCAGGGGAAAAGCACATTCCAACCTCATGTTGTAGGGGTGCGGTGGGCATAATGTCTGATAACAATTGCCCTCTATTAGGGAGTTTCTTTGAGTCAGGAACTTTGCTGAGCTCTTGTTTATTATCTCGTTCAATCCTTACAACAGTAATGTGAGCTAAATACTATTATCCCATTTTACTGATGAAGAAATTAAAGCTTATTGAGATTAAGGGACTTGCCTAGCTCACATCGGGTTTTAAATGGTAGAGCAGAGATTTGAACCTAAGTCTAACATTGAAGTTTATGTTTTCACAGTTTTAGCAATCTGTAAGGTAATGGGGATTATATCTACGGGCATCAAATCAAATGTTTCTGACTTAACAAGTTGCTTTAGAAGAAACTCTTGGTTCCAGAATGACTCAAAATTCTAATGTAAAAAATGTGTTTAAGTATAATATGTTACGAGTTAATCAAATATACGTACTATTAGGAATGCAGAATTTTAAGCTACCTTTAAGGTTAGGAGTCAAGCCTCTTGTTTAGTGCAAAAGTGTTGCTAGCCGATGGTGAATGGGAGTTATTTCAGGAAAGTGACTCTTATCGTTGACAAAACAGTGTATTCTGAGAAAGTACTTCCTTATAAGGATCTGAAATCTGCTTACCTCTTATAACCAACAAAAAATAAGCCCTTTTCCAGGCAAAACAAACCTTTTCTATGAAATTGCAATGTCGTAGAAGAGTATAAGACAGTCTTTTTTTTTTCCTCCAGCTAAGCATCGCCAGTTCTTTTTCAATCATCTGTCATTTGAAGTTACTTTCACAATCTTGATTACACTCTTTGGACAGACTCCAGTTACTCAATATTGCTTCTTAAGTTGTGGTCTCCAAAGCTCGAGGCAGTGGTATAGAAGTGATCTGACCAAGAGAGGGAGCATGCTTTCTGAACATGCTTAATACCTCAGTAATGGAATGCAGGCATTTGATAGATACGGTAGGAACCAAGAAGTGTTCCTTCCAGGAACTGGACTTTAGTTGGTTCATAGGAAATATAGTATTGGAACACATTGGTGTACCAGTGTGGGTCCTCCCAGGGTGATTATAATATGTGGAATTTCCCATGGAAATTTTTGCCCTTTGTAAACCCAAAGAGTTATTTGCTTTGCAAGATTAGAGTCCAACGTTTCACTTTCGGCAACTAATGAGATTACTGAAATCTATGCGCAGGTTGAGTAATAGGTCAGCGGCTGCGGTCTTCTACCAGTAGCTGAGAAGTTGTAGGCACCCACCTGAATTTGGCTCCTGGATGAAAGGTCAAGAAGGTATATGACCTTTATATGTGGCATGAGGCATATTTTTCTGTATCCGTAGATTCATTTAGGGATTTTGAAAGCCACATTCAATATTTTCTTAAAACCATTATGTTTTCTTCAGAAAGCTCAAGTTAAGTCAGAGCAATAAATATGCTTTGGAATTTCCCATTTAAAACAGATCTTGCCATTCGACACAGACTGATCATTTCAGAACAGCACAGAGCCAAGACAACCATATTGACCTTTAGGGTTGGCATATTTATGTCCACTTTTTATTTGAGTTGAATTTCCTAGGTCTGTTTATGTTTCTCTGTTGAAACATATAAACTGTAATGCTGGTGTAATAATATTACACTTCTTACATTTTTTAAAAAATTAAGAAAAAATCCATATGCTCCAGTCTCCGTGGTTAGTAGAAGAATATTTCGTTGGTCTTATTAGGGCTCTACTCTTTGGTTTGTTCAAGAATGTTAGGGGCTTGCTTGGTCTTGAAAGAAAAAATGGTGGAGGAGTTTTCATCCAGGGCAGTTGATACTGTTACTATCATGCAGGCAATGCTCTTTGCTGTGTGTAGGGCCCTGGTTCTCCCTATGGACAACAGAGATTGCTGACTCTGGTTGGG